CCTTAGGTGTGTATGCAACAGAAATGTTCACCCAAAAACTTGTATAAGAATCTTTATAGCAATAGTATTCATCATAGCCAAAAGGCAGAAACAACCAAATGTTCATCAAATGATGAATGCATAAATCAAATATAGTATATACATACAGTGGAATATTATTCAGTTAGAAAAAAGGAATAAAGTGTGGATACATGCTACAACACAGATGAACCTTGTAAACATACTAAGTGAAAGAAGCCAGTCACAAAAGGCCACATATAAAATGATTCCATTTATATGAAGTGTCCAGAAGAGATAAATCTGCAGGGACAGAAAGCAGATTAGTGGTTGCCAGGGCCTGGAGGAAGAGGCAAGAATGAGGAATGACTGCTTAATGAGGAATGAATGCTTAATGGGTGTACAGGTTTTTTTTGTGGGGGATAAGAATGTTCTAAAGTTAGATTGCAGTGATGGTTGCACAACTAGGTGAATGTACCAAACAACATTGAATTGTATGCTTTATGTGGATGAATTATATGGTATGTGAATTTTATCTCAAAAAAGCTCTGACCAAAAAATAAATATTTTTAAAAGATATTAGAGGATATTGTGGGGAAGCAAGGGTCCATCTGCTTGATACCCATTTATACATTAATGCTTAGACCACTGAAATTCTCAGCAAAGGTTGTCAAAGACTGGCAGCTCTTTTTCTTTTTAAGTCTTGCCAGCTTCCCCAAGCCCAGCCCAGCACCAAGGGCAGAATCTTTTGTATGAATGATGAATTGACTCAGTCTTTGTCAGAAAGTGTCTGTGTCTCATACTGACTCCCGAGTGATAACTGAATACTCTTACAGGATTGAGGTTCACAGTTTTGCTCTCAAGCACTGTGTAAATATTCCATTGTCATCTAGCCTTTATCTTGTCTGACTCCACTTTCACCCTGGAAGGCTCAAGAGTTTGTTGGTCTGCCATTCAGATCCCTCTTCATTTTTGCCCTTGGGGATTTCCCTTTCTTTATTTCAGGCTTGGCTGTGAGCTTTTTCTTCACACTTTACCCTGCATTTGTTTGTGTTTGTAATGGAAGAAGCCACCACAGATTATCTCTATCAAGTTGCTTAAAATGAAAGTGTCTGGTGCTTTTTTAATGGGTGCATTCAACAGAATGTTAGAACTAGGATCAGCATGCCAAGGGGAGGGTGGCATGAGAAGGCAGGGACATGGAGTATCTCAGTGATTGTCTTTCTTCCTTACCTGCTTCTCCCCTTTCCTAAGGGAGAAGTGACAAAGAGGGAAAATAAGTTCTGAGAAAGAAGAGCCACTCTTAGTGGAACCACAAAAACCCCCTTTTGTGACACTTTCAGAGTCCTATGCCCTTTCACAGATGCCTGGGCCCAGGATACATTTTTTTTCTTACTGGGAAGATGCCCAGGGGAGAATTTTAGCTTCCTCCTCAGGTGAGAGCTCAGAACAGAGGCTACTCTACTCTGAGGTTACAGCTAGCCCATGGGCAGAACTTCCTGAGCTCAGTGGCATCCTACAATGATTTCCTTTCCCCTGAATATTGAAAATTTTCCCCAAATACCCCTAGGAGGATTCATATCTGGATCTAAGATGGGGGAAGGGGAAACCAGGACCATTTTTATTCAGGCCTCAGACTTTTCTGCCCATCAAATGTTGGCTGCCCATTGGGTGGCAAATTTGTTCAGAGGAACAGGGTAAGTCTTCACAGTAGCCATGGGGCTCTGAATACTGAAGTCATGTATATATGGTGGAGTGACTGTGTGGTGCTGGTGGAGGTTGGGGTGACCCTAAGGCCAGACTGCAGTTGTTCAAATCCCAGCTCTGTAACTTTTTAGCGCTGTAACCTTGGATCAATTACTTAACCCTCTCTGTGCCACAGATTCTTGGTCTGTAAAATGGGATTAATGAGAACACATGCCTCTGAGGGATGTTTTGAAGATGACATGGGATAAACCAAATGAAGCAATTAGTACAGAGCTTGGGCCCCTGGTAAGCATTCCACAGATGCTAATATTAAACTGTGGCTTTTCCCAGTCTTAGGCCAAATGTTTTCTTTTGGACCATCCCCCACAACTTAAAGAAGGCCCCTGAAGAAGACTGAAAGCTGAATATGTCCCAACTAGGCCTATCCCACCCGCTTCCCAACCTCCTCAGAACCAAGCTTGGGTTTACAGATAATAACAAGATGTTACATTTGTTCTTTTCACATTTATTCTTCCCACCACTTTCACAACCTTTATCCCATGATGCTGTGGACTTAACAGGATGGTGATGATTGTCCCCATTTTGGGAAAGAAGAAACTGAGGCCCTGAGAGGTAAAGTGACCTGTCCAGAATTACCCAGCTGACAAAAGTAGGCAAAGTCAGATCTCCTCCTTCAGTGGTCACTGCAGCCTCCTTCAACCTCTATTCTCCTATAAACCCCTCTACTAGGTCACAGAGGATTGAGCAGCCTGCTTCCCCTGCCCCACATCCGTTCAAAATGCATGGATGAAAAGAGCTTTCAGACAGGTAAGAAGGAAGGAAACATAGATCCATAAGAAAAAAATATCTCTATAGCTCTGACGTAGGGCAAGTTATTTTATCTGTAATATTCTGGTTGGAGAATGAAGTTGAGAGTATCTCAAGGTCTCAAGCCTGTTGGAAGAAATGAGGGGGAAAGGGTCTATCTTGATCTGATTAAACTGGTCCAGTGTAGTGGGATCTCAGCTGAGCCCAAAGTGAGACTCAAAAATGGCTGGAAACTGACAGTGGTCATTCAATGGCAGCACAAGCCTGTACTGACATGGAAGAAGTGGTCTTCAAGAGAAGGTTTTATATACTATTGGTCTCTGAGGGGCAGAGATAGAGACCAGATGGTGAGTGAGAGGATGGCAGAAGGGTAGAGGAACAGGACAGGGTGACATTGGCTCTCTACCTAGGCCACAGGACTGGGTGTGTGGAGAGAGTTCCTGGCATCTCCTTACATGGACGATACTGGGTTTGAAGAGACCTATGGACTTCCAGTGCCTTAGGGGGCAGGGTTCAAAATATGGAAATGGAGCTGAAGGTTGGGTCTAAATAGAGGACTTGATGGCTTTTGCTCTCCAGGTACAGGTGCAGGAGCTGAAAATCTGATCCAGGGCAAGTGGGGCGGGGATGGGAGGGGAGACATTGCTGTAGGAAGAAGCTGAAGCTGCTCTTCTCACACAGGCCTCACTGAGACACAGGGTAGAAGCAATGTTGTGGTGTCCAGGTGACAAAGTGACACAGTATGGCACAGAATGGGGAAGGGACTTACCACCCCAACGTTCCCCACCCCATTAGTGAAACCATTAGTGGTTTGAGGATCACTCAGGTGCCTTGCAGATTTGCAGAATCCACACCCCACCCCGGCAGGGGTCTCCTCAGTCCCACAGATGGAGGCACCCACCAGCAGCTGACGGGGTGCTGAGGGGCTGTCCTCACATGGCAATGTGGGCAGCTGACCTCTACGAGGCAGGGTAGGAATCAGAGAACAAGAGAAGACTGTCTCAGAATACAGGAAACTTCCAAGGTCTTTCACAAATAACTGAGAAAACCTTCAAGGGGTTAAGATCCTGTAATACACAGGTGGGATCAGGGGTCAGTGACATCTGAGCTTTTACTGCTTATGGGACCTTATTCTTACCCATGGGCCAGTGCGGCCTAGAGAAACTTGGAACACTATTTTATAGCAGGCGAAATTGTCTCAAGTACTTGGGCATGTGATAGCCTAGCTCAGTGTAGATGCTGAGTGGCTCTTGAAGCATTTCTAAATATAACCTTTGGGGTGGGCAGAGGAGCAGGAACTGAGCTCTGACAGGGTATGATTGGGCTTCATTTGTTCCATTTATCTCTAGTGATGTTAGCTTGCAGGAGAGGAGAGGCAAAAGCGAAGGAAAGAAGAGTAAGGGGAAAAAAAGAAAAGAATTGCTCTTATTCTCCATTAGTATGGCTAGAAGAAAATCAATTTCACTTTTAAGACATTTTCCTCCCCATACATTTTCCAGACATGAACTGCATTCATTGTATCATCAATTTCTTTTTCAGTAGGAAGTAAAGCTGCCAGTGGTGTCCTGAGCTAAGAGCAACCCTGGCTGAACGCGGAGACCCAAACTCCACTTGGGCCTGGACTGGGCCAGGTGTGAGCCAACAGGGCCAGAGAAGAGGAGAAAGCTGGGTCCCCAGAGGCCTGCTGCCTCCCTGGAATTTGGATTTCCCAACTTACTGCACCTTCTTTTTCCCCCTGAGACAAGAGAACTGGTGATTGATGCATCCACAGGCAGCCTGTAGAGCCAGATTCTTATCTATATTACCATGGGGCTGCTAATTTGTCTGCCAATCTTTTTTTCTGAGAATCATTTTCCTCTTCCTGGAGTCAGACCCAATATTTAGGGTAATGGAGCAGGCAGCAAATGTCTGTTCTCAGAGAGGGTTTGTTCTCTGTCCCTCTCTTCCCTTTTCCCTGCTGCCATTGCCATGGATTTCAGTCATCTAGCAAATCAGTCACCTGTACTATGGCAGCAGAGGGCTCACAACTGTTCTCTGACCCCTTCCCCATCCCACCTCCAAACTGTTGCCTGCTTAGCTTTCTGAACTATGTTTCTAATCATGTCACTCCTACTGTTTTTAAAAGATCTTTGGGTAACCCAATTACATGGACATTATTGAATAAATAAGTTGGCCCTGTTAGTATCAAATTCCCCATTATCTTGATTTCTTGTCTTCATAGCCTTCACCACAATTTCAGCCTATCTTATGTGTGTGTTTTCTTGCTTATTGTCTGTCTCCCTGCTCCATTGAAATGAATTTTTCATTCAGTCAGGGTTCTTATCTGTCTGTCCCCAGAACACGGGCTGGCACATGTTAGATAATAAATATTGATTGAATGAAGGACTCAATTAAACCAAGTTCTGTTAAGCCACAGTTAATTGTTTTTTCATAAATGAACTTTATTTACTTTTATGATTACAAATGTACTACATGCTTACTATATAGGATCTGGAAAGTACAGCGAATTAGAAAGAAGGTAAAAACACCCACAATCCCACTACCTGAAGGCAAATGCTGCTTGAATTATTTTTTAATTATCTATGCCTGTTTAAAGACAAGACATTTATCAAGAGTGCTGGCCATGAAGCACAATAGCCAAAGGGAGTGGGGGCAATTAACAACTGAGGGATCACCCAGAGGGCAGAGCTAAAGATAACGACATTGAGACAAGACAAGCGCCGTAGACAACACATCAAGAGGTCAGAAGTTGACAACACAAGAAGCTGGGTTATGGTAAGAATGTAATGAGATGGTGCCTGCCAAAAGTTTAGCCCAATACCACTCACATAGTACATAATCAATAAATGTTAGCCATTACTATGATTATTGTTATGGGTCAGAACAAATGGTTCAGGATGGAGACTATAAACCGGGCAAAGCCCTGGAGACACATTTTACGTGCTATAAGTTGGGGCATGTACAGGCAAGTCTATGGATGAAAACGGTGGTATAGGAGTGGGCATCACTTTCCTTATAGGCTTCCCTGCCAGATGAAACAGGACCAGGGCTTCCTCATGTTTGCCTGATGACATGTGGCAAGATATTCCAAGATGTTTTTAAGGTAGGACATGGTTTCTCCTGCCTAGACTTTTCCCTGAACCAGGAACTAGAACTGGCCTCAATGGTGATGGGAGTTCAGAACTTCACACACTGAACACTCTTGAAGTCAACACTCTGATTGTCAGGGAAGGTCACAGGCATGTGGGTGAAAGAGAAGGTCAAGCTAGCCAAGTGGGAGATAGTGTGGGATGTGCCCGGAGGGGGAGGCTGAAGACGGAAGGCCACAAGGTTGGTGGTGTAATTGAATGGAATGGGTCCAGGAACCAGTCCTCAAGTTAGCAGCTGAGTCAAATAACACAGAAGAAGAGTCCAGGGGGACCACATTACTTGTTGGTGGGGGCCTTCTGATGGCCTATGCTCTGTCGAAGGTGGTCGTGCAGACCCACTTGAGGGTCTCCATGCTCTTTCAGGTAGTAACAGCGTTTGGGAACATGCTGGTGCTGGGAGTGAGGAAAAACAAAAAACAGCAGAGGTAAGAGCCATACCTACTATGACAGTGGGTCTTCTGTCTGAATAATTTCAGTAACTTAGCAGATCAAGGAACTTGACTAATGTACCTTACTTGTATAAAATACAACTGAGGACTAAACTAGCCAAATTTTTTAGTGACCTGGGTCCACAATGCAGGAGGGTATAGTTGGGACCCAGCCTCCAAAAGATGACCCCTCTCTTAGAATTGGTCTTGGAATAACTGAGAGTTGGTTCTGAGCCCAACTAGCTCCCTTATAGGCAGAGGATTTGGACTTTTAACCATTCCAGGCCTCAGTACCTTGGGCAGAGCATTCCTCCCCAGAGTGGTTTATACACCAAATGTAACTGCATGGCAAGGCCCCTGATGAAACTCCAAGTTGGGGATTATGGTCTAGGAGCTCAGTGCCCCTCCCCCTCCCCCAGCCTCTTCATTAGTCTATTCAAAGGAGCAGGGTGACCTCCTCCCATCATGACCTCCTCACTTTTCTGCTCAAAAACCTTGAGTGTATTTCCCCACCTTTACCTCCTCAGTGCGCTGATGACAGTTCAGTTCATTCTCCATTGCTTCCTCATTATTCCGCTTACAGGCTGACAGCAGAACCTGGCTTGAGCTGCCTGGGGAATCCTTCTCTTCAGCCAGCTGGCACTCAGTGTAGAGAGACCGGTCTATCAGCTCCTTTAGGCTGCCAGCCACCTTCAGGAATATCCGGCCCATTTTGGTGGTAACAGCTTCCGAGAGTCCTTCCAGAAACCTGGTCCGTAGAATGGCATCAGACCAAGACAAATGTCGGGCCAGCAATAGGAAGTCAGTGGCATACTGCCTGACTGACTTCTGGCCCTGCTTGGGATGGCAAAGGACAGCACTGAGGATGTCTATCTCGGACAGGGAGTCATACAAGCCCTGTGATCTGCTCAGGAAAGATTTGTTTTCATCTGAGAGGGGGTTTCCTACCTCCATCTGCAAGATGGACCACCTCTCTGCTGCCCCCAGGTGAAGAGACACTAGAAATGCCATTTTCTCTGAATCAGCCAAAAATCCCTTCATTTGCTTCTCCTCATCAATCTCCATCTCCTCCTCCACAGAGCATGAGCCCCGGGCTGCTTCCTGTTCTTCTAAGAGGTAACAGAGTGCTGGGGTCAGCATGCCAAAGGATGGGACTTCCTTTGGTGGTGGGTTCATTGTTTCAGAGGTTGTGGCAGTCACGTGTGGTGTGGACTGCAGTCCAGAGGCCGTGATGTTGATCTGAGAGGCAGGTGTTTCTCCAGAGTCTGTGGTTTTGATTTCCAGAGTAGGCATCATTCCAGAGTCTGTGGCTGCCATTTGTGATATACACATGGCTCCTGAGGCTGGGGCCTTCAGTGGCATAGATACCCCTTCAGAAGTCATGGCTGTCCTTTGTGGTATGGACATCCCTCCAGAGGCTGTGGCTCTCAGAAGTGGCATGGACATCATTCCAGAAGCTAAGGGTCTCACTGGTGGTGCAGGCATCCCTCCAGAAGTTGCGTATGTTGTTTGCGGCAAGGACATAGATCCACAACTCGCCACTCTTGTTTGCAGTGTGAACATTGCTCCAGAAGCCATGCTTTTCATTAGTGGCATAGATATCTCTCCAGAAGCCATGGCTGACATCAATGGTGTGGGCATTGTTCCAGAGGCTGTGGCTCTCATTAATGGCCTGGACATCCCTTCAGAGGCCATGGCTGACGTTAGTACAGTAGACATCTTTCCAGAGGCCGGAGCTCTTGTTAACTCTGTGGATACAGCTTCAGAGGCTGAGGGTCTCCTTAGTGGTGTGGACATAATTCCAGAGACTGGGGTCCTTACTAGTGGCAGGGACACCACTCCAGAGGCTGGAGCTCCCACAGATAGTGTGTACATCTCCCCAGAAGCAGAGGGCATCATTTGCAGTGTGGACATTGTTCCAGAGGCTGGGGCTCTCATCATGGGCATGGTCACCCCTCCAGAGGCTGTGACTGATATTTGAGGCATTGACATCACTTCAGAGGCCATGGATCTCATTAGCGGTGCAGACGTTGCTCCAGTGACTAGAGCCCTCATTTGTGGCATGGGCATCATTCTAGAGGTTGTGGCTGTTGTCGGTGGAGTTGACATTGCTCCATAAGCTGGGACTCTCAGAGGTGTGGCTATCTCTCCAGAAACTGGGGGTCTCATTAGTGGTGGGGATATCCCTCCAGAGGGTGCAGCTCTTGTGAGCAGTGTGGACGTATCTCCCGGGTCTGAGGCTCTCATTAGTGGTATGGACATTGCACCAGATGCCGGAGTTCTTGTTTTTGGTGTGAACATCCTTTCAGATGCTAGGGCTCGCATCTGCAGTGGGCATATCTCTCCAGAGGTCATGGATCTCATGAGTGACATGGACATCCCTTCAGAGTCTTGAGTGTTCGTTGGCTGACAAGGCATATTTCCAGAGGCTGTGGCTTTCATTAGTGCCTTGGGCATTGCTCCAAGACCTGGGATTCTCGTTAGAGGCGTGGACATAGTTCCAGAGGCTGTGGCTGTCATTTGTGGTGTGGACATGCCTCCAGAGGCTGGGGCTCTCATTAACAGTGTGGGCATCCCTGCAGAGGCAGTTTCTGTCATATGTGGCACGGACATGGCTCCAGAAGCTGTGTCGCTCATTAGCATTGTGGATATCTCTCCAGAAGCTGCAGCTGTCATTTGCTGTGTGAGCATCGCTTCTGAGGTTTTGGATGTCGTTAGTGGCTTGGACAATGCTTCCGAAGCTGTAGCTCTCATCTGTGGCATGGACATCACTCCCGAGGTTGTGTCTTTCATTAACAGTGTGGACATTGTGCCAGAGGCTGAGGCTTTCATTTGTGGTACAGCTGTCATTCCTGAGGCTGTGGCTCTCCTTTGTGACATGGACATTACTCCAGAGACAGGAGCTCTCCTTAGTGGCATGGACATCATTCCAGAGGCTGGGGCTCTCATTCGTGGTGTGGACATTGCCCCATTGGCTGGGGCTTTCATAAAGCCTGTGGGTATTACTCCAGAAGTTCTGGCCATTGTTAGCTGAGTGGACATCATTCTAGAGGCTGTGGTTGACATTTGCTCTGTGGCCATTACTCTAGAGGATGTGCCCGTCACCAGTGGAGTGGACAATACTCCAGAGTCTGGGACTGTCTTTAGTAATGTAGGCATATTTCCAGAGGCTGGAGCTCTCATTCGTGATGTAGACACTGCTCTGGGGTCTAAGGCTCTCATTGGCAGTGTAGACATCCCCTCAAAGGCTGTTGCTGTCATTGGTGTAGCAGACATAATTTGAGAATCTAGATTTTGTGTTAACTGTGGGGACATCACTTCAGAGCCTTGGGCTGGCATCTGCTGGGTGGGCATCATTCCAGAGGTTAGGGCCGTCATTAGTAGTGGAGACATTGCTTCAGTGTCTGGGGCTGGCTTGGGCAATGTGGACACTTCTCCAGTATCTGGGGCTGACAAGAGCAGTGTGGACATTGCCCCAGAGTCTTGGGTGCTCATTAGCTGTGCAGACATTGCTTCAGAAGCTAGGGCTGACATTATCAGTGAGGATATTGCTTCAGAGTCTGTGCCTGACATAAGCAATGAAGATATCTCTCCAGAGGCCAGGGCAGTCATTAGCACTTTGGACATTGCTTCAGTGTCTTCATCTGTAATTTGCAATGGTGACATTGCTTCAGAGCCTGGAGTTGGCATTGGCTGTGTGGACCTCACTCCAGGGTTTATATCTGGCATTAGGAGTGGGGACATCTCCCCAGGATCTGGGGCTAGCATCAATGACGTAGCCATCATTTCAGAGGAGGCAGTGCTCATTATAGGTGTAGCCATTGCTCCAGAGGATGCAGATGGCATTGCCAATGGTGATACCTCTTCAGAATGTGGTGCTGCCATTAGTGCTGTGGACACTGTTCCAAAGTCAGGAATTGTCATCAGTCCTGGAGACATTAATCCATAGTCCGAAGTGGATAGCAATGGGGACAATGTTCCAGAATCTGAGGTTGGCATTAGCAATGGGGACAGTGCCTCTGAGTCTGAAGCTGGCATTAGCAATGGGGACAGTGCTCCAGAGTCTGAAGCTGGCACTAGTGGTGGGGACAGGGTGCCAGAGTTTGGTGCTACCATTAGAGGTGGAGACATGATGTCAAAGTCTGGGGATGTCATCAGTTGTGTGGACATCCCTCCAGGCTCTGATGCTGAAGTTGAGACTGTAGGTTGTACATGAGAATGCAGAATTTGGACCTCTGCTTGGGTCTCTATCATTGGTCCAGAGAAGGCCATCTCCCTGTTTTGGGGGTCGGCATTTTCTTCCCCCATCATGTTATTGAATCGCAGTGAACGTAAGGGTAGTGACATATCTGCTATGGCCACAGGATAGTGTGGAGGGAGCCCCGAAAGTGATGGTATCAGGGGTCCCACTGAAGCCCTGGCAAGAAAATCTGTAAACAGGAAACAAGTTTAGCAGTCAAAGCCAGTATCAAGAAGATTGGGAAATAGACAAATCGTTCACGATGGAGGCTTGTTTTAGGTGCTGTCAGCTGTGTGGCATCAGTAACAAGCTGTGGAACAATGAACAAACCTGAAGCTGGAGCAAATATCCGTTCCACCTCTATCTTTTCCAAACCAACCCACCTCAGTCACAAAGCACAGCCTCTCAGTTTGCCCATGGCTATAAAACCCCAGCGAGCCCCGCAGCCTGGGCTCAAACGAAGCATGAGTACCACCTTCTGGACAACTGTGAGAAGTGCAGGCTCCTGGGCAGAGTTGGGTCGCACCGAAGTACTGGGCCAGCAGGCCAAGGCACTAGCAGGCCTGGGAGAGAAGGCCCTTTGCCCCAGGGTGCTCACTGAGTCCCGCCAGGGATTTGGTCCCCATTTTACTACTGTGATGGCCCTGAATGTCTTCTTGGGAAAAAAAGAAGGCGCTTATCTGACCATTGACTGGAAGTTGTGTTCCATGAACTGAAACTCCTGTTTATTATTATTAATAACAAAAACAACTACTACTACCACATATTGATCACTTAGTGTGTTCCAGGCACTATACTTTAGGCAACTATACACAAATTACACTGCCTGTAGTGTACAGGGATTTTGCAAGTGTTTTCTCGCTTGAACCTTACAATACGCTACAGGGTAGATAATATTATTATTCCCGTTTTATCTACCCTCTCAGACTAGCCAAGGTCGGGGCTAAAATAGGGTCACTGTGATGGTAAAAACTGTGTATCTTTGACTGTCACCACTTCCTTGGGATTGCCTAGCCTTTGGCATCCCTAAGGCTGCATGCAATGATCTCTCTGACATCCGGGACCATGGCTCACTTGAAGCCTGGTCTATAACACGTATAAATTTCAAGTGTCTCTGATGATGTGCAGGCAGGCAATCCCAGAGCCGCACCTCTCCAGCCTACCCCCATGAGCAGCCCCAGAACGGGCTTCTTGGCACATAGCTTGGAAACCACACACACATGATGCGACGCTGACGCATCCCCACAGCCTGCCCATGCCACAAATGGAACACTTGCTCATTTGCGACAATGTCGCAAAAGTCATCGATTCCCACGGCATTGTGCCTCCATAATAATAACAAGGATACAAGCGACAGAAATACCAACAGTGAGCATTTCTTGAACAGGCATTCACCAGCAAGCACTCCGCTAGGCACTTTACACGCATCATCTCATTTGGTCCCCACAGCAACACTAAGAGATTTTGGTAGTACTCTACTTCATCTTACAAATGAGAAAACTAAGGCCCAGAGAAGCTTAATAATTTTCTTGGAGTCACATAAATTCCCAGGTCCTTCCAACTCTAGAGTTGTCTGTCTTCCCTCCCTCCTACTCAGAAACTCTGAGAACCCCCCATCTCCAGCCTAGACAACCCCAAGATGGGGTGTAATAAAAGAAATACTGGCCTCCTGCTGGCACCTTGATTGCTCTAATAATTGGTGCAGTGGGAAAGATGAGTCAAAAGAGCAGTCATAGACACCCACCTCCCATCTTCAGACACATGACAGTTTCCCACCAGGCAAAGCCCAGACAGACCTTACCTCGCCAGTTAGGGAGAAGAGGGAGAGTGTGTCTTTTGCACCCATAGCTCTTTTAGCCTGGCCAATTTACTTATGCCCCATGCCCAGCCAGTTCATTACAGGAAGACCCAGTAGGAGCAGCTGTTCTCTGAAATCTCCCTTAGCTATCCCCTGCCACACCCCCCTCCTGCCCGCCAGCCAGCCTGCCAGCCCGCCCACCCGCCCCACTGCTCCTGACTTGCTAGTGCTTGCTCTGTCTCTCTGGTCCCAGATTCCTGCCTCTATATAGGCTCTGACATTTGCCTCTGGCCGCCTTTCACTTGACAGCCCTCCAGAAGCTCTGTTTTAGCACTTGGCCTGAGCAACTCCACCCCCTTTGCCCCTCACCCCCGATAGCTGTACCAGCCCAAGATGCCCGCCTCTGGCTGTCTCAAAGAGGAGATACGCACAATTAAAGAGAGGGAACTGAAAGGGTCCCGGGTCAGGAAATGAGACATATCCTCTGCGGCTGAGCAGACACAGGGGTCCTGGGAACCAGACACTGCAACCGGTGTGACACGGAAGCGCAGGCAGGGGTTAGAGGTAAGAAACCAGGCAGAAGGCTGAGTAGAGCAACATCAGTAGAGTTCAAAGAGGTTCAAATGCAGGGAGGAAACCAGGGCTTGGGAAGGCGGGCCGTGGGGGCTTAATAGAGCAATGGTGATCATCAAAGAGCCAGTTTGTCCCAGTGTCAGAGACACCGAGGGAAATCTGACAACCAGTGTCCGTGCCAAAAGGCTGGGATTCAACAGCGAGGCTCCTGGACATTCAGACAGCTGGCTCAAAAAGCAAGCCAGTTTTGAGCATACCAGGAGAGGGCTTGCTCATAAAAGCGGGGCTACAGCCTTCTTTTCAGAACTGGGGAACAAAGTCAGAGTAGAGCTAGCTGAAAGGTTTACCAGAGCCCTCTATCCTTCTGAATGGTGTCTTTAAACCCCCAGACTAGGGGCAGAACTGGTCCCTGAGCTCTGGACAAGGCAAAGCCTTCAGGTGAAGTTCAAGTAGCCAAGGTATAGGTACTTAGAGTCTGGGAGCTTGGAGAGGCATTCAGGCTATTATTATAAGCCATCCCACATTCATAATTAGCAACCAAGGATTCCTGGGCGCTCAGGCTAAGCACTATGCTTGCATTATATATATCCTTTGGGCGTCACAGTAGACGTGACACCATTCCCATCTTACAAGTGGGGAAATGGGCTTGGAGAACTTATGACCAACGTCACAGAGCTAGTAAATGGCAAAGCCCACATTTGAGCCTGGCTCAGTCTGCTTCCAAAATCATTTCCTCTCTTTGTAATCCTACAAGTGGTTAAAAACACTCCAAAGTGCTCTGCTCACTGCCACTTCCGTCTTCCTACTCCTACTAATGGCTGAGTCACTGTCCTAATAATAATAATGGTAGTAGTAATAATAATACCAACTGACTTTGGTTGAACCCTTCCCATATTCCAAGAACTTTGCTGAGGGCTTTACAAGCATTCTCTCATTTGATCCTAACAGCTATCCTCTGACCTAGGTCCTTTTAATCCCCTGTTTACATATAGGAAAACTGAGCTCAGCGAGATTAATTGACATGACCAAAAGCACACAGCTCTGACTCCAGAGCTCACTATAGTACACTACTCAAAAAGAAAAATCGCACTCTCCCCTCTCCCATAAACCAAAAAATACTCATAGGAAACCCAAAAATGATGATAATTATCATCATTATTATTATTATTATTATTATTATACCTAATAATAAAAGCCAACATTTACAGTGGCAGGCACTGAGGGTAGGCACTATTATCACCTTCATTTCCAGATGAGGAACCAGAGACACAGAGAGGTTAACTGCCTTTCTCAAGGTCACAGAGCTACAAAGCACTGTTGTTTATGATAATAAAAACTTGGAAATAGCCTAAATGCCAATGTTAGAACACAATTCATTTAGTGATCAAACAAATCATGGTGCATCTACAGCAGCTATTGAAAGCAATGATCTGATATTTACAAAATAAATATGTATATTTTTGCATAGAAAAAATACAACCTGGAAAGATATATACCAAAATGCTAACAGTGACCATACCCAAGTGGTGAGATTAAAGGGGACTTTGACTTTTGTCTTTCTTATCTGTCTTTTCTCATTTGTCTATAATGGACCCATATTACTTTTATTAGAGGAGGCAAAAGTTATTTTTCTTTTTTGAAAAGGTGTGTTCCCCTAGGGTTCTCTGTCTAATCCTCAACCCTCCTCTTCCTGCACACTTTCTCTAAGAATCTCCATTTCCCTGCCCAAGCAACCTTTCTCCCCCAACAAACTTAATGCTTGTATTACTCAGACTCTTGGTTAGTAGCAACCTTTCAAAAATGTCTCCAATGGCTTCCTTGTATTTTGTGTTTTTGTTTGTTTTGAGAAACGATTTCTTGGTCTTCTAGCTTTTATTTATGTTTAAGAGTTATACATGTAATCTAGGAATATATTCTCAAGATGAAAACTTGAAATCCTATATACAGATAAAGCTAGTACTGAGCCTACCCCACCCCAAGCCCCCCAAGTCCTATTCCTCTGTCTGTTAGTAGTTGGGTGTGTCTCCTTCCAAACTTTTTCTAGCTGCAGTGGCATTCGGAGTTCATATCATACAATTGCTTGCAAAACTCAGTGTGTGCAAAGAGCTACAGTTAGAGAACCATTCTGGCACCGGTCACTCCAGGATCCCAAGTTCTGGTTCATTGTGACCATTCATCATCAGCCTGCTTCTAAGGAGGCTACTGAGAGAGAGATCGTGCACACTCAGCCCATTTGGGTCACAGACTTCTGCTTCACTAATGCCAATGTCTCTACAAACAGAGAGGTGAGGCCTCTAAAAAGAAAAGCCCAGAAATTGCTGCTTAGCATCTCTCAGGTCCCTCACATCCTGCCCAGTCTGCACTGATCAATATGACTAGGAGGTGTCATGTTCCTGCTGCCTCACAAGAGGTAATTAAGTTTGGGGGATTGCATGGCTAGCTGCTCAGGGAAATAAGAATAAACAAGAGACAGTTCAATATGTGAGCAAATAGCTTCCCAGCCCTTGAAAATAAAACTTCCCCTAGATTCTCAACAATATCCTTTCCCCCAGCCCTAGCAAACAGGCTCCCAGAAAACTGAAAATAGACAACCTCAGGCTAAAGTGATACCTGGTCTACTTTACGGTCCTCTGCCTTCCCTGATCAATCAGAGAGGGAGACACCTTCCTCACCCTCTTGCTCCCCAACAGCCCTGACCCTTTAAATGCCCACCCAGTGCCTGATAAATAGAGGAGGTAAAATAGCCAGCATTTTTCTGAGTGCTCATTCTGCCGGGCACTAGTAAGTACTTTACATATATTACATTATTTATTGCACAATAGACCAATGAAGTCTATTACCCCCACCTTATAAAATCAGCTAAGGAACTGAGGTAGAGAGAAACTAAAATCAAGTTACTTACCTTGGCTCTGACAGCTGAGAGGGAGTGAAGCTGGGCTTGTCACTCCGGTCTGTCTGACTCAGCTGGTGCTCTTAACTCACAGGAGAGTCACAACACTGTCTTCAAGTCTCTGAAGGGCTGTCATATGGAGGAGAGGGTAGGTGTGTTCTGGGTAGCTCCAAAGAGAAGGATTTGACTGTTAGTTGGGAATTATGCTTTCATTGGATGTGCTGCAAATTCCCCAAACAACATGTATATGCATGTCCAACTCTATAGGGAAAAGAACATTATAAGAAGAGCAAACGGAACTGCCTTGCATTAGGTGCCGTCCTGAAGGATCTGTGGAATCAGAGAGAACAGGAGGGATACCGAAGGACTGCAGATGGGCAGCGTCCCAATTTTCTTAAATAAGGAAACTACAGACCAGTATACTGTAAACTCCAGAGCTGTAAGCTTGATGTCAATCCTCAGAGAGATTCTGCTGCTGATTATGAAGCAGGTAATTTATAAGCACTTAGGACATAAGTGGTGTTAGGAGGTACCTCGAGGCACTAGCAGAACTGTACAAAAGAGCAGCTTCCCAGACTTGAAGCTATTGCAAACCAAAAAATTGCAGGACTGAGAGGGGGTTGCCAGATTTTAATTTTTCCAGTAAAGGCAGTAAGAAACAAAACGAAACAACCCCCAAATTATCATCTCATAAAAAGAAAGGGCTTTCTTTAAACACCGAGAGAGAAGGAAATATTCTCTGAATAAAAGACAGTCCTCGAAAGGAAATAGATTTCACTTCACAATACATTGCCCACACGGTCCTCAGGTCTTCTCGTTGCACCGTGGATGCCACAATTTCCCTGGACAATGGGCATTTGTCCAAGGACCTGCGTTAAGGAATCTCTCAGAGCTGAGATATCAACACAGATAAGATCAGATACCTGTAAGACAGGAAGCCTTTCTAGCCCAAAGTGGGAAGAACAGAGTTGTACCTTAGCCTAAGGGAGGACATTAACATAGATAAAGAAAGTGTCCGCAGGAAAGAACGTGAGAGAACTCAAGGTTGCCAAGTGCAGACCTAAGCCCTGCTGAGGAGGGATTTAGTCGACACATTCGACCTAAGCCACCCCTTGGACCACATGGCTCTCTTGTAGGAACACATGCCTGAGGCCATTAAGTACTTGGACCCTAAACCGGTTTCCGACTTGAGATTCTCCAAAGCAACCTTCAGACTATCATCACCTGAATTTCCGGGAAGAGCTCCTAAAGGCAGATGGATTCAAAAGCGGCTCAATAACAGTGCCCGAGTGCGGTTCTACAGTGCCCAAGAAGGAGGCTGCTAGCCTTGATCCTGAAAGTCTATCCTTCAGTAGGTCTGGGGAGAGACCAAGGCACCTGCGTGTTCACCCAAGTGACCCTGAAACACTCTAGAGTTGAAGAACCACTGGCATAGGCGGTTGTACGTCCTGACTGTAACATCAAATGAGCCTAGGCTCCCACTCCAGCACTTCAAGTTCCTTTGCCTCAGTTTCCTTGTCTGTAAAACAGGGATAATACCAATACCTGCCTCACAGGCTCTCTGAATGTTTTAAACCAAAAAACACATGTAAAGTGTCTGACACCTAGCTGAATTACTAATCTCTCCTGGTCCTGCTTATTTGTGAGCCCTGCTGCCTGCCTTCTCTGTGTTCGGCTTCTGCCTCTATTGCCAACTACTCTCTCTTTCTAGGTCTGGTATTCAAACTCCCCAAGTAAGAGACTCTCATTGGTCCAAATTTAGTCACCACTGTGCTTGTTGGGCAAAGCTCTCATCCTGGGTCCCCTCATAGACTGCTTGCCAGCCTACAGAGTAGAGTGACTGCTCTTGGTCAGATGCCCTCTCCTGGCTCAATCGGCTATTGCCGGGGGGCGGGGCTGGGGAGCCGGGTCACGTGGTGCCAAACAGCCGCCTATTCAGAAGCAACTGCTACTTCCCTCAGCTAGGGTCTCTGAATGGAAACTCCTTAGAAGGGGCCCGTGGGTGTGACAGGAATTCTGAGGCTTAGCCCGTCCAATACACCTAGGCTTCTCATTTATCCAGCCTGCCAAAGAAATGAAGCGTTCAAGTTCACTGAAGTCTCTATTTAATTCTGACTCTTCATTTCCATCAGGCCAGGAACGCCGGTTTTCAAAAAAATAGACCACATTCAAGGTGGGGGGGCGGGGGCGGGGGCGGGACCTTGGACCGTCTGTTTCTAGACAAGTTTTTAAGTTTTCAAAGCACTTTCGCATCTATTTCCTCATCGCAGAGCTTGCAAACTGGCAGCCACCGACTGGCTCCAGACTGCAGATGGATTTTATTTGACCCATACAATGTTTCAAACATTTAAAAAATTAGTTGCCAACATTAAAAAGTCAGGAGATTTCACATAAAAAGCTGAATTTCTGGCTTCTCTGGGAAAAACAGAAAGACTTGGATCCTTGCTCTGCCATAGCAACAGTCACCTGGAGCTGAGTAAGCTGGGACATTGGCTCACCAGTTCGGTTCACTCCCCACCTGACCACTTTTACTTTTTCACAGCGACTTGTACAGCCCCTGTAGGCATTTGAAGCCTCATTTTAACCCCGTGGAGTAGGCACAGGAGGTGGTTAAGAACACAGATTCTGAAGCCTAATTGTCTGGGTTAGAATCCCAGCTCTGCCTCTTACTGGCTTTGGGACCCTGGACAACTGATTTAACCTCTCTGAGCCTCAGTTTTCCTCATCTGCAAAATGGGGATGATGATAATAATGCCTACCTCACAGAGTTATTGGTCCAACTAAATGAACTAATGCATATAAACTACTTAGAACAATACCTGGCACGTGGCAAGCACTAAATAAGTATTTGTTTCATTACATTGTCCACAATTCCCTATCTGCCAAACAAAAGATTGAGAAAACTGAAATTCTGTGGCAAGCCCACTTGGGGGCAAAATTGGGCTTGAGTTGACATGAGGCTATTCATTTCTCCCATTTAGAAATACAAATGTGTTTGAGCACAGGATACTGCCCTAAATCTCACTACGTACAAATAATATATGTACCATAGTGCATTTCTAAAATCCAAAAATTTTGATCTTCCAAACACATCTAGTTCTATTAGTTTCAGATAAGGGATTGTGGACTTATTTTATTATTAGTTTGTAAACCCACTTGAAAGTAGGGAAAACTGACCTACTGAGCATTAAAGCAACTGGCTAGAAGTCCCACAGTTGGGAAGCAGAAATAAATAATATCAATCCAAAAACATGAAGCCCGTAGTACCTAGTACTGTGGTATGTATCAGACTGTATTGGAGTGGTGATGCAAGATTCTAGTGGCCACCAGTCAGGGTCCCCTGAACCATAAAGAATGCACCATTTACTGAGTGCCAAGCCCCCCTGCCTTAGTAGCATTCTTTTGACTGTTCGCCTTAATCTCCACTATATACTGTTGGGTTAGGATTAGGATGGGGATTATTGTCTTCATTTTACACAGGAGGAAACTGAGGTCCAGAGAGGAGAAGTGACTTGCTCAAAATCACACAGCAAAAGTCAGGCAGAGCTGTAACCAGGAACCACATTCTATGCTTTTCAAATCTTCTTCATCCCCAAGGCCAGTCCAAGGAAGACATATGCTGAACGTTTCACACACTGACCCCCAACTCTCTGCAGACAGTCCTAAAATTCTTGACACACCTGATGAAAGGAGAGTATCCCAAGATCTCAGCAAATACAAAAATGAGACAATGTGTCTGGGTGGACCTCATCTTTCCCAGTACCATAGGCAGCAATGTATACAGACACCATCCTGTCGGAAGCCAGGAAGGGGAGACTTCTCAAATCCCAAGAAAATCACAGAGACCCAACTGTTTGCTCTTTTCTGCTGATTTTTAAGAAGCTGACATTTACTTATGCCAAAGGCCAAAAGTAATGAAAAATCTACTGGAAAGGGAATTTCATCAGTTAGGAAGCAATATCTTAAAGAAACCTTTGCACTGTGTCACTTCCTTTGGTTGAGATGCAAAAAAATAGAGCATTGCTATGTCATTCAGTTAGCGCATCACACACCTGGGAATGAAAACAGCATCCCTAGGACCCCTTGCCAGCCCCCTGCCTCAGCACAGGCACACTTTCTGACGTCATCAACAACTTAAGCAAGTTAAAGAGAGGGCAGGCAGTGTCCCAGGTGACCTCGTGTCTCTCCTAAGCTCATGGTTTGAGTCCCTCCTACCAACAAATCTGCACTTTGATCACACACCCGCAGCGACCCAGATCTTTGAATTCAGCAATTCTTCCTCAGGTTTCAGCGAAGCATTGGCAGCCAGAGCTATTTTGGGACACTTGCTCTGCTGTGGATGCCACTTTTGGAATATGCCAGGAACATGCGAAGGACCTGGAGCTCTCCGTCCTGGGCCCATTTTCAGGTTTGCCTGCGCTGTTTCTCTGGGCTGATCATTTGGAGGACAGTTGTCCTTGCCAACCTAACCCCAGGAGCCTGACTACCCCGCCAGGCCACAGGCTTCAGGAGGCAGTGTGGCTGCCAGCATCCCCACAGAAAGGAGCATGGAGGCACCAGGCAGCCTGAAGGACACATGTCCTAGGGGGTGATTTGAGTGTGGAAGAAGACAGAGGATACAAGGGAAAGGGGTGAGGAAATTTTCCAAACATCTTATTCTAACAATCATCACTTCGTCATCTGATGCAACTGACTCGGCAGGCACTCAGGAACCTGCGATCTCCATTTTCCTGTCCTGAAATCCTCTGCACCTGTAAGTACCGGGGCTCATTGCTGCGCATGCTGTCTTTGTGGGAGGGGGAGAAGAGGGCAGGGCCTGGGGAAGGTCATCAATATCTGACTCAGGTGGGGGCAGGCTCATGGCATTGGAAGGATTCCGGACCACCCCCCACCCCAAACTGCTTCTTAGTTTGGAAAATGAAAGTACCTCTTTTTTTCTTTCCCAAGCCCCCAGCATACCAGAAACTCCACCTGTCCTTCGGGGTCTTCTGTTCATCAGTGCTGTGCACACCTGATTTCTCATGCTGAACTTAATAGGAGAAGCTCCCCCTTGGCATTTGAATTTCTTAAATGCAACCACAGCTAGTATTGTGGG